CCAAAAGCTTCAGCACTAAAAGGAGAAACAGAGTGGGGACCAACAGAGAGGGGTAGATAGCAGAACAATGGCTATGGAAAGCAAAGTGGATAGGGATTGTCAGTACCCAGTGTCAGGCAGCTATCAAAATCCAACCCTCTGAGGAAAGAAGATGTCACTCCATTGTAAGTCACATATGAGTGGCTGTGGAGGGAATACTGTTTCCAGAATCCTCAGGCTCAAAACCTGGAGCCAAGCAGGAAAACAGTACAAATAATTAAGGGAGTAGTGGAATTAACTTACAGGGAATTCTTTCTACTTTTCTTCACCTGGTGAGATCAAGTGTAGTATTCATTTCACATCAGATAGGTCTATTATCAGGGAACTGTATCCTGTTCTGGCAAGAGATGATCTAGTAGATATTTTTCCATTCCAAACTTCAAGGATGTAACAAATTATGTATAGTTTGGGAAAGCGATGCGCTAGGCTTGCTGTATCGGGGGGCATATTTAAAAATGTGTAGGATGAATAAATGTCAATGAGGGAAAAGAAATGCAAGAGAATGTGTTACAAAAGGAAAAAACAAAAGCCTGCTTCCTTTGCATTTATACAGAATCTGTATAGAGAAGGAAGTCCAACCCTTATAGAATAAACAAAGTCTAATAACATCAATGATATGGAGTCAACTCAACATACAGAAAGTCTAACATCAGTAACTTGGACAGACTCCATTTGCTTTCACAAAAATATACCTCATACTAGAAATCCATTTTGAATAGCAAATACCATACCCAACTCGCAGATGGAAAAATTAATCATTGAGAAAGTATTTTATTTGTGTTGAAACAGAATGAGTCAGTGAAAAACAAGAATATGACACAATTCTCTGGCTGATGAAATGAAAAAGACAGCTAAGGTCTACATATTTCTATCAAATTCAAGTTACAATGAATTTTTCTTATGGCTATAATTCAGTGTATAATTTGTCACTCAAATATCACCACCCTACAATTACATTAATGAAACATCTCTAATCATTTACAAAGCACTCTTCTGACACTCCCTTCAGGTGTATGTTCATGACTGGATAATTGACGCATTCTTGGGCTGCTTTGGATGCTGTCTATATCTGCTGTCAAAAAACCCATTTAGGTTCCTGGTTTTTTGAGTGATGCCTTAAAGATTAAAAAGCATCAAGTCAGCAAGTTAATGGCTCATTTTTCAATGTGGCCTTTCTTTGACACCTATTTTTGAATTATCCACTTTGCACGCCCATTTTCCATGGCCATTTTCAAAGTGGAAGCCTGCAATTTTTGTACCAGTTTAGAGAATTTTAGAGTGGTTAGAGCTCATTCTGGCCAAGTAAAAAGAGCTCTTTGGACAGGGCTTGAGAGAGTGAAACTGTCTGTCCCTAAGGTGAGGTGGCTCTGATTTGGAATCCTGGCTTTTCCTCAGACTGTTTGTGTGACCTTGAGCAAATCCTCTAACTTCTTTGAGGCTAAGTTTCTTCATCAGTGAAACAAAGGTGATAGTCTGAACCTCAGAAGTTTGTTGTGAGGATGTAGGACCTAGGCTGAATCGGGGCTTGGGGGTGGCTAAAATAGCGTGTAGTGAACGGTGCGTGCGGGGAGGGGTTACTGTCCCCAACATCACACCAGGTTAAGGTGAAGGCCAGTCTCAGGCCCAACTCTGCCACACGTATGGGCATTTGTTAAACACACATTTGTTAGCAAGCAGGCATGAAACCATCCAGGCAGGCTGTGAGCTCCACGAAGCCTTAGCTCTTTTCGCTTTACGTACTCCAAGTGACTGTCACCTCACATAAAAGACTCATGTTGGAAATCCTCATTATTGATGGCTTGAGACAGGCCATTTAGGGATCACTCGTTGAGCTCTGTCTCTAAAGATGCAATCTACAGGCTATCAGGTTCTTACATTCTGTTCAGCAGGGTGGGGATTGTCTCTAAAATATTTTAACCAATCTACATACCCTAACCTCTAATTTCATCAGTAAGAGCCATTTGTAAAGCTCATGCCTCTTATTTCTGACATTTCTTCAAACATCAAAACCTCAGGTGTTGGTGGACATATGACTAACAGAAAGACTTGGGGTAGCAATCATGGGAATGTGGTCTTAGTGATATTCTACCATCCAACCACCACCCTATGAGGATGAACTCTCAGAGCAATAGAATTCTCTAGAGCTGTAGTTTAAACCAAACTGAACATATAAAATATCACATGGTCTATGCTAGTTTAAAGTAAATGACAGACGACTTAACAATGGGAAGAGCAAACGTTTGAAATACATGTCAGTACTCATCCACTTAGGGATGATCTCTATCAAGGGTTGTCAGATTGGGCCCAACACGTTTGAAAGAACCTGTCATGGCCCAGGGTTTGGGGGAATCAGATAGGGTTCTGGGCTCCCTACTACCTTAGCCAGAGCAGCTCTACCTCCACCTAGTTTGCATTTTAGATGTTCTCACAATACTTTACTTAAGGAAGGGTTCCATAGCTGAAAGGTTTGAAAACCACTGATGAAGCCTAATGTTCATATTACAAATGGGAAAGATGAGACCCAGAACAGTTGTCACTTTTTCAAGTACAGAGAATCTGTAACAACTCCTTGCAGTGGGCTCTTTTCACTAGCATAAGCCACCTGTTTACCATGGAGAGGCTACATGCGTTGCTAAACTTAAACTCTAAGCAGGAAAAGGTGGTTTCCCATAGCATGTACTTTACCAAATACATTACCCTGGATGACCTTTATGTATTCCTTTACTGAAAACTACAACCTACTGTAGAGTATACACACTTCATTAAATAGGTTAGTTCAGCAATCAAGTCTTTCAGAAACTATGTTAACTTCAACTCACTATTAGGAAGACACCCTCTGTAGATACTCAATAAATGGGTCAGGGTAGTGATGATATAATAAAACTTTTAACCGGTTAACCTTCTTCCCAAAAGTCCCTATATTGACTTTTCCCTTTTTTCATTCAAACTGTAGAAATGGAGATAGACATTGGTTCAATGTGGATAAACTTCTTCAGGTCTTAAATTGTTTAGATCTTATTTCAGGACCCTAATGATATTTCATCCAATCTAAGACACTATCAATTGTAAAATACCATTATTTTATGTCCTGCTAAAAAAGAAAACAAATGTGCCAATTAAATATTTAAGAAACCATTGGTTATAAGACACATTTTGATTTGGGGGGTATTAAAAGAGGTGCATCTTGGAATTCATGAAGTATGCTACCACATTTGCCACTGCATAAGACATATTTTCCCCCTTGTCATATGCTCCTCCCTCCTCCCACTCTAGGCCACTGATATTTCCAATAAACAGAGGAATAGCATAGAAGGTTCAGCCTTAGGCTTTTAGAGGAAATGGCTTTCTCTAAGATTGTGTTGCATTTATATTTTGACATATATAGTACACACAGATCAAAAATACTTCTTGGCTTGGTGGCCCTAGGAATGGTGATTTACCTCTCTTGATACCCGCCACAAACCTTTGGATCTGTTTCCTTTCTGTGGGATCAGCATTATTCTAATACAAAAGTAAGTTTTAAAGACCCTAGGGGGAAAACGTCACTTCCTTCTCTTGGGAGAACACAGATCTGCCATGTTCCCCGAACATGGACCCTGTATATTTCCTGTGTCTTGAGTTGAACATTCCCCTAGTAACAGAGCTCACATCAGGCATTTCCAAATGGACCTTACCACACTTTCTAGTAATTTTGTTGGATGTGGTACCCAAATTGTCCAAACTGTATCATAAGGTAGTAAAATATTTTGTTTCCTTCGCTCAGGCATCACTTTGATGCATAACATCAAAGTGCAATTTCAACTTTTCAAGTCCACGTATCCAGTTATTCATAAGGCAACACTTTATCTTAAGTGGAAAAAATTAGGTTCTATCTTTAAAAAGAAGTTTTAGGGGCGCCTGGGTGGCGCAGTCGGTTAAGCGTCCGACTTCAGCCAGGTCACGATCTCGCGGTCTGTGAGTTCGAGCCCCGCGTTGGGCTCTGGGCTGACGGCTCAGAGCCTGGAGCCTGTTTCCGATTCTGTGTCTCCCTCTCTCTCTGCCCCTCGCCCATTCATGCTCTGTCTCTCTCTGTCCCAAAAATAAATAAATGTTGAAAAAAAAAATTAAAAAAAAAAGTTTTAATGCTTGTTTTATGTGAGTGATGCTCCTGGTTGGTCTGCATTAAACATTCTTGCCTTTTGATATCAGATGAAATATGGATAAAATTAAAATTTACAAATTCTTTCCCCCAGATTCAAATTACTGTGTCAGTATATATTCCTCACATAATTTAACATTTAGCCTATTTCATGTTTACTAGAAGATGTTTTATGTTTACTGGGGATGGAGATTAGTGTGTTATCTTAATGAATGACAAGAATCTCTGAAGTGTGATACCAGGGAACTTGGCTTTCCAGCACTCTCCTTATGTGCTGACCCACACAGTGGTGTGCTGGGGAGAAGGTAGAGGAGTGTCAATCACAGAGACCACAGAAGTGCCAGGACAGCCATAGGACATTACAGAAAGGAGGAAGGGGTTCAGGAGGTGTGAGTGCACCCCTCCTAGGGTGAATCTGAAGGAACCTGAAGGAGGGGCTAAGGTGGGATGGCTTCTGAGGATGCTGTTTCCTCCTTTCCTATCATTATGTGTTCCTTTTTCATATGAGGGAGAGGAAAATGTAAAGTGCCACAGGAGGGCAACAGCTAGAACAAACTGTCTTGAAATTCTTCTATCCATTAGGGAATCGTGAAATCACTGCATAGACCTAAAGATGAGTACCAGAAATCTGTAATAAATGGAAGTCAAATTTCCCTTTGCATATTTTTGTACTGTCATTATTGCAATTTTCTTGAGGAAAAAAGATTTAAAGATGTACTTTTTGGATGCGTTTTTTATCACAGTGATTACGGTCTCCAAGTGTCAATGCAAGTTCCTACTTTTTTTTTTTTTGAGTTAAATCTTCCCTGCTTTTTTCTTTTAGGCAAATATCAACATCCCCATGGGAGCCTTTCGGCCGGGAGCTGGGCAACCCCCCAGAAGAAAAGAGTGTACTCCAGAAACGGAGGAGGTGAGGAAAACTTAGTGGCAGAGCTCAGCCCTTTCTCCTCCAGACTCCTGACTAGAGTGGGGCAAAGCCAAGGCGAGTGTCAGCTCTCCAGGACAAGGGAGGCATGAATGGATGTGGGTCAAGGAGTCATCACAAAGTACATACATTTCTTTGAGCCTCTTGCTCACTTAGCCATGGAACACACTGCTCCTTACTTCTCTTTAGCCCTTTAAGGGCTTGGCACAGTTACTTGAAGATGCTGAGTTTAACATGTTGTTTGTTGATAGTGTGTGTGTGTGTGTGTGTGTGTGTGTGTGTGTGTGTGTGTGTGGTGGGGGAAGCATAGCCTCTCACATGCTTTTGGTCTGGCAACAGTCACTAGCTCGGTAAGGTCTCACTTGGAACTTATTCTGAACTGAGCAAGATGTATTTAGTACAGCTTCTGATGAGTGACAAACCCCAGTGGGAGCATAGGTAATAAGCACATTAAATTACTTGTGATTCAAACAAAAAGCCCCAATCTCTGTGTATTTCCTTTGAAAAGAGGACTTTGCAAGGGAGTCTATCAATTTCCGTCTTTTTTTCCTCCCTCTAATTCTTTACCTTTCCTCTGAATTCAGATGCCCACTTGGCTGAAATGAAGGCTAAAATTCATAACAAGTGCATTAAATAGAGAAGGGTGCCTTCCCAAGGTCTGTATTTCTTCTCCAACTGTGACTTTTCTGATGAAATTTGGAAGGTCTAATTCTGAAAAAAAAAATGCAGGTTTTGGAGCATGTCATTAGCAGAAGACAAGGAAAGTGGAATTCAACAAAGCCATAGGGCATAGCCAACTGTATTTTATCTTTCTAAAAAGACTTATTTTTGAACTTTTGTAGGTGACCTTTTTGGTATTTGCCCCCAAAGAACACCTATCACCATTTCAAAGTTTCCTAATAAAACTTTGGTTGTCCCTCATCTAACCTTTCTCCTCCCCCTCCCCCCGCCCCCGTAAATAATTCCTGATATGGTCCCGAGTTAGTAGTTCCAGCCTCCTATCATTAGAAAGGTAAGTTTTCAAAGAAGGAGATGGGAGTATTTGAGTGATATCACCAAGTTCTGGAATTTCAGCCACTAGGTCACCTTTGATGAATAAAAAGTTTGAACTACAAGTTGAAAAAAACCCAGCACTACCCTGTTCTTATGGTACATAATCTCAAACTCTGATGCTACTGACTTGGCTACCCAGTTAACTCATAATCATGGGCTCTCCCTCTGGGACTTTGGTCAAGTATTTCTGAGCCTATGTCTGCCAAATACAATCCACTCTTTTCCTCAGAGGGTTGCTGAGAGGAGTCGGTGACATAATGGACACAGCACAGCCTACCAACCATTCAATAAATGATTGTTCATCATTTGATCTAATTATTCAATTTTCCTGAAGGACTCCTAGGCCTATTATTTTGCATATTGTAAGAAAAAGGCATGGAGAGGTTGAAGAGAGGGCAGTGGAACTCTTCCCACACTTGCATGTATCTGTAATTAGGTTTTCTTCCTGTGTTTCCCTAAACCGTGTCTGTCACTACCATGGCAGTCATTCAGAAGATGGCTTGACCCTTTTCCTCACTAAACTGATGTATGTAACAGTGGTTTTGGAGGTTTGCATCTCATCTTCCCCTATGGTACAGATGACCTTCAGTTCTCTGTACAACTGGTACTTTCCTCCTCACAAGTGTCCCAGTTAGGGGTTTGGGAAAACATTTTGCTCTCACTCTTGTCCCCAGTCTGATGGTTCCAGCACATTCTAAAATAGACAAGAACTGATACGGCCTGTTTGTGAACACTGACTTTATGACCAGCCACATGTACAAATGGCTAATCAATATTCTTCACAGGATGGAGGGAGTGAGGTATCCACAGAGATCCAGAGACCCCAGAAGTGTTTCTGGAACTGAGGTATATCTTTCTCATGGGCTATATCCCAGCTCATGGGCTGGGAGGGTGGAGCTGAGAATGGTATTCCATTACTGTATGAGCAGAAATGAGCTCTCAGGACTTGTGGGATCTTAGGTAGGGGGAGGATCTGATGACTCAAGGCCTGAGCTGGACCTTAGAGTAAGTTTCTCATGGAAACAACATTGCAAGGGGAGCAGTTAGGCAGCTTGGCTTGGCTACAAGGTGAGTTAAGTAGGATTTTGTGGGTTTGCCACCTTTTGTCATATAGTTTGAAGGCAAAAATGGAATCTGAATTAAAAATAACCTATACAGGGGTGCCTGGTGGTTCAGTTGGTTGAGTGTCCCACTCTTGATTTCAGCTCAGGTCACGATCTCATGGTTCATGGGATGGAATCCCGAGTTACGCTCCACGCTGACAGCATGGAGCCTGCTTGGGATTCTCTAACTGCCCTGTGCATACACATGTGTTCTGTCTCTCTTAATAAATAAATAAATAAATAAATAAATAAATAAATAAATACACAGATAAATAGATAAATAAATAAATCATACAACCACATTTTTAAAAAATTACCTAATTTGCAAACCTGGAAATGCTTACTTACCTAGTTTTGGGATTTGTTGCCTAGGCTTGCATTAAGATAAGCACTGTATAAAATGGAGATCATAACATACCATCCCTGAACACAACAGGCCACCTCTATCACAGCCAGTAGCTCCCCCATCTCATGCGTGAAGAGGTTGTATCCCAGTAGGAAGCCAGGACCAGCCTTTGGCCCTCTGACAAGGCCTGCGAGTGCTGGCTGGGTCTCCAGCCCACCTATGGTCTCTGGGAGCCCTTTGCTTTGCTCACAGAGCTGGAGTACACCCTCCCTCTGCCCAGCCCAGCCAGAGTTTGGCATGTGCCTGACACAGAGGCCTTGCAGCCAAATCCTAATAAATAAGGCCAATCTTTTGGATAAGACAAGGCAGCTGCTTGTTTAAAGCGATTTGAAGGGTACTGACAAGGCTCCACTCTGCTTCCCAAATCTCTCTTTTGACTGTAATTCCATCATTATTAAGCCAGAAAATAGCATGTTGGTACTTTCTGTTAATTGTTTCCCTCTCCACCTTGTCCCTTTACAAGATGCAAACACACTACTTAATTCTGGTCTCACACTTCCTAGCCATGAGACTATGGGCAATTTTCTTACTCCTTCCCTCCCTGCCTTAGGCCTCAGTTTCCTCAACTATAAAACAGGGATAATAGTAATAGCAAATGTATAGAGTTGGTGTGAGGATTAAATGAGTTAGCATATGTAACTTAGAATAGCTAGCATTGTGTTTGCTGTTATTAGTAAGTCCTCAGTGTCTAAGCATGAATGAGCACATCAGACTGTATTGCCCCACAGAGATGAGGTTAGGGGAAAACTCAATAGAGTGGTAGTAAAGAGGGAAATGAAGGCAAGATAGCTGGAAAATGGTTCACCATTTTGCCAAATTTTACAAATACTCTATAACCCCCCACCCCCACCCCAGGGGAACATTTCCCTTGACAACAGCCATTCCTGACACTGGTAAAGGTGCAGGGGCTGATAAACCTTCTCTCAAAGTCTCTTTATCTCAATAAAAGAATATCTTTCATGTCCTTTCTCAGTTCAAATATCTACGTACAAAAGAAAAAAAAGTACCACATATTAGCCAGATGGAGCCATCTGGAACCTTGCTTGTTCATGTCTTTATTTATTATAATTCTTACAATAAATTTATAGAAGAAATGGAATCGATTCCCAATTTTTTAAAAGATGAGAGAAGATTCAGTTAAGAATATGTACCACCATTAACCCCTTCCTGAGTCAATGTCATATCTACTTATTGAATATATCCACTTATAATTTCTATTATATGTGACCATACCAAATCAAGTGCTGAAAGTCTTACCTTATTAAAAAAAAACACAGTGCACTGAGGTTTTAATAACTTGAAAGTGACTAATATTAAATATTATCATCCTTTTTTCTGTGTATGTTCACATAAGTCTTTGCACATAGACATAACTATACACATTGGCTTTACATATTAAATGTGCCAACAGAGCGCATTTTGATATTACAAACACAGTGAAGGTGACATACCCAGGAACTTAACAGAAAGAATTGGAAACATTTTTCTTCTTCATGCTTCTTTATTAAGATCTACCCACCTAACCATCATCAGAACATTCATAAATGAGGAAACATTTTTCATTTCACTGCTGCACATATTAAAAAACCCCATTTTATAGCCTTGTTTAAAATCTCTTTCCAAAAGTCTAGGAAAGAACATTTTGGAATACATGATCCTCCAGGTGGATGTTTAATAGTTTTCATTATTGCTTCTAAATCGCCATTTATAAATGGTGAATGTGTGCGCATGACAAAAGGAAGCTGATTCTATGACTGTGTACATCAGCCTGAGGAAATACTATTTGCCAGATATTTACAACAGGCACAGTCTACACTGAATTACTTTATCATTTTGTGTGGGTTACATCTTAGCTATTTCATCAGTACTGTGCCAAGGTTCAAAGAAAATGACTATAGGAAAAAACTATCAGCCCTTCATAGAAGAACAGTAGATGTACAATGTTTTATATTTGTACTTACCCCTCAAATAGGCAATTCTATAAAGGATATGCCTACAAAATAATTGGTTTGAGGTTGGGAATCTTGAACAGTCTCTTCCCTTTCCCTTTAGGTTCTAGACAATTTGAGAACTAGACGTAGGAGCCAGATGGGGGCAAAGAACAGCATTAGCTTTAATACCCAAGTCACATCGCTGCCTGATTAGGTTGGCAACAAGTATGGGCTTAGGGCTTGAACCAGAGGCAAATGTGCATTGTTTTACTCCTTTTCCCTAGAACTGTACCATTCATTCAGTTGTTGGCTGAGCAGATGAAGCCCTGCCAGTCCCACATTGTGACCATGTAACAGTGGGTCCTCCAAGGAGCAGACAACAGTGGGCTGAGATGTGGAAAATATTTACTGGGGAAACCATTTGTAAGGAAAAATGGGAAGGTGGTTAGACCATGATGTGGGTGAAGAAGAGTGGGACAGAGAGTTGGAGTGAAACCTCTTAGATCTCACTGCTGTTCTAAGGACAATTCTATAGCCGCAGTTCCTCCTCAAGAGTCTTGTCTCCCAGGAATGGGCTGGCCTTAGGATCCTGTGGCACTCAGTCATTGGCCACGAGCAGCCGTGGGAAGTGTGACCTCAGCGTGGTGCGGCAGGTGGGTTGCAGGGTGAGGCAGCTGGGACTGTTATTGAATTACCCTCCTGGCAGAAAGCTGATCCGACAGGCGTGCTCTCATGGCTGCCACAGTGATCAAATGTTCCTCCAACACCTTCCTTCCAGGGCTGGAGAATATGCTCCCCATGTCTAGCATAGGCGTCTAGCTAACAAGCAATTTCTTCTGCAGTAATGACTTTGGAGTTCTAGGAGCCACACACAGCAACTGATCTTATTGTTTTAGTCACTGTTAATATGTATGTTTGGTGTATGTACACAGAGGCATATATTTGTCATTATGGTACATTCTTGGGATTAACGAACTAAACAAAAATCGGCAAGCATGTCGTCGATACCAGGCTCTGGAGGAGCCACAAAGAAAAGTATAGAATGTGGTCCTGCCTTAAAGCTGCAACAATATAAAAACATTAAATAATAAGGAATTTAAAATAGTTCCCAAAGCAGGAAGAGAGAAGTGGGCCTCCTCTTGCCCCATACTGTCCCACCCACATTTGAGAAGGTTTTGCTTATGTCAGTGTCAGTTTGTTTATGCTTCCAGGAGACGTTGTTGGAACAAAGGCTGACAGCTACTGCACCCCAAACAAAAAAAAAATGTTAAACTCCTGGACGAAGTCATTGCTAGAGCCAACCATGCACAAACATTCTACAAATCTCTGCTGTTCAGGCATATTAGGATCCTAAGATACGAAATTAAATTTGATCTCGTAAGGTGCTTCTCTTGGAAACACAAATCCTAACTAGTCATAATTTTTGTTAGTTATCAGACATTGAACAGTACTCTTGTGTTTTCTAAGTCATGTGGAAGTTACTTGTTTTCTTCTTCCAACTTTATTCCATATTCCTCCACAGACTTCAGGAGATCTTCTTGGGACTCTTGAGGGTGTCTCAACAGCACAGGAATGCGGCTAGAATTATCCTTTGACAGAGAGACCAAATGCCTTTTTCAGTGAGCTGATCTCTTTCTCTTTTTTCTCTTCAGGGTGCTCCTCCCACCTCGGATGAGGAGAAGAAGCCAATTCCAGGAGTGAAGAAATTTCCAGGACCTGCGGTCAACCTATCAGAGATCCAGAATATTAAAAGTGAACTGAAGTATGTCCCCAAAGCTGAGCAGTAGTTGAAAGAAGGTGAGTGAAAAATTATTTCCTTCCTCTTAAAAAGACCACTGTAAAATGGATGAAGGAAGTTTTCCACAGGAGTCTGGAATTCCAGAAGCATTGATTAAGCGCCAGGTCCTTCAGTTTAGAGTGGTTTTTATCGTGCAGAGGTTTTCTGGGAAAGCAAAGCTTTGTGGCCATTGAGGATGTCTGCCTGCCAACCCCTTTCTTATTTGGGGGAGGACAAGGTTGGGGGAGGGGAGATGCTTGGGAGGAGGCCTTGAGGAGCTTTTGATTGTGGAGTCCAGGGAGCCCTCCCTCATTCCATGCCTCAGTTTCCCCACCCAGATGCCACAAAGAGTGATGAGCAAGTCCTGAGGAGGAGATAAGAAGAGCAAGGTGCTGAGGAGGTCTGGAAGTGTAAAGGGGGCAGGGACCAGTTTAGGCCTTGAAACCAGTAACCCAGATGTGTGCAAAGCGGACCAAGAGGACCCAGTGATGACTCAAAATGTGCATGAGGGAAGGGTAGGCACAAAACTGTACCTGCCATCCTCCCGAAGAGGCAGTGCAGGCAGGGCCTGTGACCTTATTTTCATTTTAACTGGATCTGCTCAATGATGACCCTTTGGTGAGGGCTCCGCCCTGCCCTCCATCTACAGACCCAACACATGCGGACCCGCCTGCGAATTCTGCCACCAGGGGGCGTATGGAACTGGCCTGGCCTTCCTTTCCAACTCTCCTGTGAAAGCCTGAGAGCAAATCTATTTTGTCTAACATTACTGAATCCTGCCGTGCACAGTTTGTTCCATTCCTTAAGCAGAAGTTTAAGTTTAGAAGAGAGGAATCTATATTGATAACATAAAACAGGTATTTTTTTTTTACTTCTACAGAGAAATTTATTTTTATTTTATTTTTTCTAATTCAAGTATAATTAATATACCATGTTGTATTAGTTTCAGGTATGATAAAACAGGTATTTTTCTGGCTGACTGCCCATTCATTCGTTTGTTTGTTCATCAAGTCACTCATTTATTCAACCAATATTTACTGAGCAGCTATCATGTCCTGAGCACTAGAAACATTTATTAATCACATACCATGTGCCATTTACTGTGTGAAGAGCATCATATCCATTGTTTCTGTTGAGCCTTATTGATACCCACTTACTGCCCTCATTCTTGAGATGGATCTTCTAGAAAGACTGATTTTCCCCATCTTTCATGCACCCTAAAGAAGAGGTGTGACTTCAAAGTTAGTGCTGTCACTTACTTGTTATCCTGCCTCACCTCTTCCTCCCACTGCACCTTATGAAGGATGGCATACTCCCTGTGGGTGTCAGGGTGAGGTCCTCTGACCATGTAGGTACAGGCACAGCACTGGGGCCCTGCTGTGTCTTCTCCTGTAGACATAACAGAGGACAGAATGTTCTCTGGGGTAATCCCATGTGTAATGGCAATGTTACTTGTGTCATGTTTATGCTGACTTACAATGACATTTGCAAGTTAGTTCTGGGGAAATGATTACTTTATAGTACAGAGAAGGAGGAGTTGTTTTGAGTTAAAATAAAAGAACAGTATCTAGTGTTTTCAGCATGCTTACATAAAAGAACAAAGGAGTAAAAATAAAATACAGTGGACTCTATGACTCTAGAATGAATCCCAGGAACCTGGTTGGGAACAAAGTTACATGAGCAGATTTGACCCAAAGTGTGGCTACACACACTTGTCATTATTTATGACAGAATGACACAAGTTGATGGCGAACATCATTACACTCAGTCCTGCTTATATAGCCAGGCGGAGATGGAATACTCCAATATGCTTGGGACAAAGCTGCAGGACCTTCTTGTAAGAAAGCCCGGGGAAGGGAGACTAATGTTTTGTAATATTTATCATCATCATCATCCAACCAAGGCGAGTTACATACATGAATCTTTAATGTAAACTTTAAAGGGTTTGGTTTTATGAAATCCATGTAGACCTAAATTTAACCCCAGTTACAGTTTCAGAAGAACCTGGTTTCAAAGATTCAAAGGAATGCTGTTTTAAAATTAGCTCAGAGAAGGGGGGCCTGGGTGGCTGAGTCGGTTGAGTGTCCAACTTCGGCTCAGGTCGTGATCGCATGGTTCATGAGTTTGAGCCCCACACCAGGCTCTGTGCTGACAGCTCAGGGCCTGAAGCCTGCTTCAGATTCTGTGTCTCCCTCTCTCTCTGACCCTCCCCCACTTGCACTCCCTCTCTCTCTCAAAAATAAATAAATATTAAAAAAATTAGAAATAAAAATAACATAAAATAAAATTAGCTCAGAGAGGATCTTGTACTATTATCTGGCAATGATTCTGCAGCCTTGCATCTGTGGGTACTGTAATGGGGAACAATATCAACTCAATAAAATATTAAAAAGTTACCCAAACATCCAGGACAAATTTTTGTTACTTCATTTTTCCTAGAGAAGACTTTAATGATTATTCTCTCACGAAGCAATTCCAATAATGCAAAACCACTCAGAGAGGCCTATTTTTCCTTATTCTTACAAGAATGTGAGAACCTACATTGTCAGAATAATTGATCTGAATTCTAAATGAGGACATTGCCAAGGAATGATCTTTATTTCTTGTAGGAGAGGTATTAAGTTGGTTTGCTTTTGACTTATCAATTCTTCTCCTGCAAATACGTCAGATTTTGAGACTTCCATGGTCATGGTTTGTGGTCACAGAGGGAGAGCATTTTATTTTTAATACTGATTGATTCAGTGGACTTATAAGGAGTAAATATCCTGGACCAGCCATCATTTAGCCCCTCACTGGTTGGATTGATTTCCTCCTTCTTGGGCTACCATTTTGTTACCTATCCTCACCATGTCCAATTCAATGATTCGATCAAACAGATTGTTGTTTGAAGTTTGAGTGAATAAGTCCATAGCATCAAACACTGTGAACACCACGAGACTCAAGGCTCAAAGTCCAGGTTATAACTATTACAATATTTTAGACATGTAAGATAGACCGGCATCTCCTTCCAGCTGAGATCAATGCCTCCTTTTAAGTAGGATTTCAGATTCTTTCCATGTCCTATGCCATGGCTAGAATTTTTCACAGAAATTGGTTGAAAACATTACAGGATAGGAACCAGAAAGGCCGGTAACTAGCCAGTTGAGGACCAGGAATGGCTTTTGGCAAAGGACTTAGGGCCTGGACCCAATCAGGAACCAGAGCCAGGCAAAACAGGGACAGTATGTACTGAGTCAAGACCAAGAGACACAGTACTGTCCCAAATGGGACCCCAATCCAGGTTGGTATAGTCATGGGGCACGGGGCAGGGTAGGGTGTTCAGTCACGTACCTCTCAAGATTCTCCTGGCTGTGAGTTAAGGTGGCCAGATGGTAATTTAAGCAAGCCCAGGAGCCAGAGGAAGAGACAGGACCAGCGGCAATGTCTGAAAACCAAGAGCCCTCCAGTACTCCCATGCTTGTTGTTTGCTGCTTGATCAGGAATCCCCCATGTCCATAGTCAGAAGCCACCACCTGGAGGATGGCTTAGGGCTGGTGTCCAACACTCTGTGTCCATTTCTGCTCCCTCTCAATCCTCAGATCAGACCACAGATGCTCAGTAAAGAACCTCTGTACCATGGCCATTTTCTTCATTCTGTGCTAAGATATATAGATAGCAACCTTTGTCCCCTGCTCTCAGGATACTTCAGTCTTGGTGGAAAGATAAAATAAAATACTCTAAAAGGTAAAAGGCAGCAATTAAAGAATTAGACAACAGTTCAGTGATTCAAGATATCCAACAGCTGTTTATGACCCCCTAAGTAGGCAGTTATGTTATGATTTATGAGAGGGAGAACTCATGATGATTTTGGGTCAGGGACAATTTGAAGGAGGTGCTGAAAATGGAATAGTTTTTACAGAGGCTTAGAATTAGCCTCTGGACATATGGAATGCCCAGAACACCATTAATAGATAAGTCTAGTGAAAGCAAACAGTTCCTCTAGGGCAATATTCTTAAACTTCTGGAGTAGAGCAAAATAAGATCCCACAACCAGCCCATACCATCTCTTCTCTTTTTCCAGCAATAAAAGAACTCAGTGATAACAAAGAATTGGAGAGGAACAAAATAAATATCAAATAAAAATGATTAATAAAGGTAAAGCCTTAGGTCTACAATTATGTTAATGAACACAAAGGGCAGCAATTGAAAGTCCTGGGACTGATGAAGCACTAGAAAGAAACTGTCGTTCTGAAAAAGCTGCAGGAATTCTTCTCTGTGTTGGACAGTGCAGCATGGCCACATGTTGTGTGGCAGCAGACTTCATGATTAGGTACTAAACCAGGGTTTCAGAAAGAGGCAACATTTTAGTGATTCTTAATAACCCACTTAATAGCTTTTGGACATGCATATAAGTGAAAATCTAAGGGCCAAATCCCCATTTGCTGTTAAGGACTGAGGAAAGCACTTGTGCTTTTGCATCAGGAAGACTTTTGAGGTCAACCAGTGGGCACTGGACCATACTCTGAGAAACACTGTGGTAGGGCTGTGAGAGTGAGTTCAAATGATCTGCAATGCCTACGTAGCCATATACACCACCATGATCTCAAGTTAGCCTCAATCCCATACCCCACATCAGTCAACCAGCCTTGCTTCTGGATTTTGTGTATGTGAAAAGAACTATTATGATGCCTGATAGAGGAGATGTGCCTTCTTCCAGCACTCTGTTCCACCCCTGGCATCTTCTGTTTATGTGGTCACAATAGTTACCAAAGTGATGTATTGGTTTTCTTGTTTATAGCTTCTCAAAGGCTAGGGGGCACCTGATAGATCATGCACACACAAGGCATGTCTGTAGAATGTCACAGGTGCTCTGACCATAGCAAGTCTGCGGGTCCCTAGAAATGTGTTCTTGTAAACTTCCCACGTCCTTTTATTATCAGGGAGATTACTACTTAAGAGTAAGACTAGCCTTCCTTCCAAGGTCTGAAAGTAACAGTGTTGACCACGATCACTTAAGGGCTCAGAAATTTGACTTTAATTCAGATTATAACATTATTCCTCTGGGAAACCGAAAA